TTTCGCAAAGTGTAAGGGAAGGGTGACCAGACGCAATTCCAGAGACCCAACCGCGACCATATTGAGGCTTTCGGAGGCATTTTAGACGGATGGGTAGTACAGACTGATGGATCGGGTGAAGATAGGACGTACCACGGCACTGTTCTTGACTCGCGATTCATTTATCCAGATAGCATGACCAGACTGGACAACACAAAACGACTTTTGTGGGAGAATACTGGAAAGCTGAATACAGAGTTATGAGCACGGTGTTCATCATGGTCGACGGAGATTTTGTTGATATTATCAAGATACGACTTCAAGGCACAGTTTAGCTGTCCACCAACGTCGCCTTTTCACACAGCTATTCCGACCATCGATCATTGTATTCTTAGACATCCGTGAGTCCTTCGACTTTGTCGATAGGACCGCACCATAGAACTGTTTGCTAAGGAATGGAGTACCTGTGTCGATCCTCAAAGAGGTGAATCGTCATACCTCAGGTCGGGTTAGGGCCTATGGCCTGTATTGGGCACCCTTCGCCGTCTTCAGTAGAATTCGACAAGGTTGCCCTATATCCCCATTCCTTTTCAATTTTGTCATGGAGGATGTTCTGCAGAATGCTTTGTCCGGTCTGGCAAACGGTGGAACTGAACTCCTCCCAAGGAACAGAGTCCTTGACTTAGAACATGCCGATGACATCGCCTTGCTGGGTGACAACACACAGGCAGTTCAAGATGCTTTGAACCGCTTGGCGATCGAGGTATCCAGGTATGGTATGCGCTGTCCAAGTGCAAAGTGCTTGCACAAGACTGACAGGACCCTGCGGTGATCAGCTGGAAGTAGTAGAGAGCTTTAGGTAACTCGGGAGCTTGATCGCAGTTGGCGGTGGTGTTGGGAAGGAGATCATATCGCGAATAACGAAAGCTAGAGCAGCTTTCGCCAACCTGTGACTCCTGTGGTGCCGCCATGACATCCGACTATCCCTTAAGTGAAGGGTGCACATCGCCGCAGTTCGTATCGTTTTGCTTTAAGGTTGCGAGATCTAGCCCGCGTTGAGGACGCTAATCGACTTTGTGTTGGATCACCGATTTCTCTGAAGCATTTCTCGTGTCCGGTTGGAACACCGGGTGAGTAATTACGAGGTTCGTCGTCGTGCGCTGGGTGCGGATAGTCGTTCTTTCACAGAAATAATCGCTCTACACCGCCTCCGATCTCTTGGGCACGTATTGCATATGCCTGCCCATCGACCACCTTTCCCTGCTCTCTTTGCACGTGCCGGGCAAGGCCGGAAGAAGCACCGCGGCAGTCAGACCATAACATGGCGCAGAGGTATGCAGAAGTTGGCTTCGGTTGGTACAGCCCGCTTCCCAGGTTGGGGTCCACGGAATGATAGTTGTCGTGTCTCAAACCCCTTCCTCTATTGTTCTTATTGTTGTGGCGTTGGCACCACGTTTGTCCGCAAGCCAGTGGTAAACATATAATATATATTTGTATGATTGCCTAAGGTCTATCGGTCAGAGGCGTAACAATACAGCCGAATTTAACTTGAGTGCCACCGTGTTTTGAACTCGGAAACGATATGCAATATGAGAGATCCATTTCATAAGAGGAACTGAGATTGCAACTGAATGCATTCAATTCCAATGTTTTTTTCGCCCTGGTCCGAACCGATACCTTGGAATAAAATATTCGGATCAGCTGATAGAATGTAGATCTACTTCATTCAACTCCTGACGAATTCACTTATATTTCAAGTAAAGATTCGCACCATTCGAATTCGACTGACGCGCGCTTATCTTATCGATCTAAAAAAATAATCTTTAATAGACGGAGTGTTTGGAAAAACTATCGGGTCGTTGCTCGACGAGGAGTCGTATTAGGGCAATAGATGAACAAACAAAAGCTAATTGATGATCTATGATGTGGAACGGGTCTCATGGCTGCTGCGTGCATAATTTAGGACCCATACGTGCATTCGTATGTTGAAGGAATACATGTGCTTGTTTGTTGAAAGAAATTAGAGGAAGCGGTTCGCTTTCAAGTCCCATCTGATCAGTTTGTGATCTGCGCGCTGAACCAAGATAACCCCAACAGATGCGCATAGATGAGTTATTCATTGCAGTTATTTTCATTCGAACAAAATCATGTCGTTGATTTTGAAGCAGTTGTTCGCTTTTCGTCTGGCAGCACTTTCTGCGGGGAGAACTAGTTTGGTCTTATAGCAGTGTTTGGTTCGGTTCGGTCAAACGGTATGGAAACTGAGCAATGAAAACTTTTGAACCGGTACACAGTCACCATATCTGTTTATCGATGAAAACGATTACCCCCCAAGTTTTGTATTTGTTCAGGACTACCGCGCTCCGATAAAATGAATTGGAATGTTTTTTATGGAACGTTGTTTTCTTATTCCTTATGTGGGAAGATCGATTGCCAAATACACTCAGTCTTTTAGTGCATTGATTCCGATTTATGTGGGAAGTTGTCTTCGTGGTCCTCGTACTCAAACACCTAAAAATACCCCTCCTTAGTTGCTACAACAAATTTATGTGGATAATACCTTGAAAATTCTGATTGAGAAGACCATCAAATAAGAATAGTGGCTTCCGAAAGTGATCATTTTATTTCAGGCGGGACGAATGACGATAATCCAAAACTAAAAAGAAAAGTAATTCTTCGTAAATGAAACATTAGCACTTATGAGGTTTCCCCAGGCTTAATTTTTGCCGCATTACCCCTTTACTCCAACTAACCCTGTTAGTTTCTGTTAGGACTCCATTCTGGATCAACCTCCATTAGGCTTTCTTTCTCAAACACCAATATGGAAAAACCTCTTCCATCTGACCAATTCTTTCTTGCACTCAGAACACGCGAAATGATTCATCTTTTCACCCCTCGGATTGTATCAATCAGAGTTCCACTATAAAGGTAAGCAAAACAGAGGCCAATAATTTGGTGACGCTTGGGATCAAACTTATTCTACGGTAGTTTTCTCAGTCGTTGCCGGATCCCTTCTTGAAAATTCGAACGATCAGTGAGTGATTCACCCCAAGATGAAGGAATGCACTTTTGTGACCAGATGTTACACACTAAATCAGTAATATAATCTGTTTCAGTTTGAACAACCATTAACCATGTACTTTCGTGTGCCCGTTTTGGTTGCTGTCTTTTGGCTGCCCATTGGGATGAAGAATAAGAGAAGAAAGGAAAGTTGAAAGTGGGTTCGAAAGGAAAATGGAGAAGTTCAGTGGACTAAGGTTGGGAAGAAATTGAGGAGATGCACGAACGCCACTGTTTACGACCCCCCGCCATATCGCTCAGTGTCTCTA